ATATATATATATATATATATATATATATATATATATATATATATATATATATATATATATATATATATATATATATATATATATATATATATGCTTATCTCCCGTTTGTTTGCTTATTTGCTAGATTGCTTTAATAAAAGCATTACAGGCATGTATTTTGGGTGATAATTAATACAAATTTTGTTGCATTAAATAATAAATAGAAAATTTGACACAATTTGATACCATGGTAACTGTAATAATAATCTGCAAATTACCACGTTATTTCTTGTTTATCATTGCGTCAATTTTTCGCTGTCTCTTCGGAAGCAGTTACAGTCTCATCGGAACCGTTCCATTATACAACGTAATATACCCTCCTGTGATGGAAAAATTACTGTACGTGGGATGGGAAAGGAATATGTATATGCAAGTCCGCATAATCGCGTAATCCAGAGATTGATGTGATAGGTGAGAATTTATCGAGAAGGAAACGGAAAGATGAACGTCATTCTTTTTTTGAAAATGTTAATTTCTTATGGTTCACTTGCTATAAAACTTCCTGTGCTATGATAATTCAGTTCTTCTAAAAAGTTTCAAGTTTTTCCGCAAAATATTTTGGAAAATGGAAACATTTATTCGTTCGCTGAGTGCTATTCGAACAGTGTTACCCGAAAGTTTCAAGAACAATCGATACTCATATTTTCACAAAATTGCATTCACAACATGTATTTGAACCAATATACAAATTTTACTACCAATGTTTGGTAGCAATTTATAATTGCTAAAGCCTAAAAAAACAAATCATGAGTTGAATGGTATCTCATAGTATCAGCTGTGGGGAACGAACTGACAAACTGATTACAAACAAGAAATCGAAAGGCCTAATCCGTTGAACCGTTTGAATCAATTGTAATCAAATTCAAAGAGAAAGGTTCTATTAATTGAAAAGATAGTCGTATTCCCTGTTGATTTGACTTTTATCTGTCAGTTTGATTTTTACCTTGTAATGTAAGAGTTACTACAAAAATACAGCAAAGTATCTGTACCAAAACGAATCATATAACGATATCCAACGCGGTATTCATTGTTAGCTAAACGCTCAACCTAAACTTGGGATTTGAAATTTCATAACGTGCTGGCTGATGTCACTGTTAAATATGAAAGGCCTACATTTCACGATACTACGGTAGAGGATTGTAGCGCGAGGTAGGTGCTGGGTATTGAGGGTGGGTCGTTGCGGTTGTTGAATTATTCGATGGGTTTCTTGCTGCGTGGTGATTTAAATGCACCGAAGCTAATTTCATTAAAGTTGCCTCGGGGAACTACTTGATTTGATTACCTCTTCCTGTCGCGGTTTTGTTCCGTAACATTTTCGTCCCGTCAAAACTTGTGGAATGCCTCTTTCGTGAAATATCAACTGAGAATGACTTCTTGGTATTTTGTGGGTAGAAAAACTGTGTGATAATGCAGAAACTTGTACACTTGAATCTAGTCACTGTTTTTAGGCTAACAAGGAGAGGAATTGGACAAATGAGCAGTGACGGAAATGTAAGTTACTTTTAGCTGTTTCTTCCAATAACTTTTTTCTGAAACGAAGAATGCGACTGGCAACATTGTAGCTACGTTCGCGAGTATAACAGCTTGCTGTTTTCAGCGCAGTGAATCAGCACCTGCACGTAGCGCGTCACGGAGTCGAAGCGGCACACCGATGGCCTCAGGTAAGAGTAATGGCCATGCTCGATCTCCCTCGGGCTCTCGACCTCGTTCATCGTCTCATCATTCACTATCACAGTCACCAGTTCGTGAACGTTCAGCTGCTTCGCGATCATCCGGAGGACGCGAAGCGTCCAGATCTCCTTCACGTGCTCGTTCAAGATCACGCGACGACCGACGTGTTCGCCGCTCACGCTCACCTGAGGAACGAAAACGATACCGATCGCGCAGTCGTGATTCACGATACCGTCGACGAAGGTACTGTCTTAGTTAAAAGGTTTTTTGCTTTTCTTTCGAATCAATTTTACCAGCTGTCGTTACACGGTTGTCTTTTTTGATAACTCCAGCTCTTATTATTAATTTTGCTGATATTGATTAGATGCCGAACGGAGTGGGAAGTAACCTTAAATGTTATATTGTTAATTGATACTTTTGGCAGTGAGAAAATCAGAACAGCTGAAACGCTGTGAGCGAACAGAATTCAAAAATCAGTTCCAATGAAAACAGAATCAATGAATCAGTGAGGCAGGCAGTTCAATATTGTCAGCGCTCAGAGTGGAACATCACAGTTTCAAGCTCAGAGTTGGCTGTCAATTCCAAATCAGTACAGTTCAGCATCTATCCTCAAATACCCAATGTGCAATGCACCACCACCACCACCATTACCGACAGTCAGTTGTGGTATTTATAATGCCGCTAGTAGTTTAGAATCCTATATCTCCACTCCTTTTTCCTTGTACAATTATTTGAAAGTTTTTCAACGGGCAGTGTTTTTTTGAAAATGGGCAACTTCAGGCTATAATTTCCTAGGATAGACCCTCGTGAAGAGTAATGACATTTTGGTATCCAAAGATCGCCGCATATCTCTGTTCCGTAGCCTATTTTTAAAAATGGTATTATATTACAAAATAACTGCTATGGGTATTAAAAACTTGTTTCCCCGTTATTTGAAAAGCTCGATCTGAGATTCTTTACGCATGCTTATAGTAAGATTTGCCCGACTCTTCGTTTTTGTATTTTCATCGCGAAATCTTTCCTTCAGTTGATATTCATTCTTCTCCTCAGTTTACAAAACTTTAAATGCTAACTATGAAGAAGATGTCTTTGGAATTTCTGTAAATTTAAGGAGGGTTGTTGAAGGAAATGCGAAAGACAACACTGATTCGTTTACAACAGTGTATCAGCTTCTTATTCTGAATCATATAACATTTTATCGAACTCTTCCTCATTATTGTAAAGGGAGATTTTGATTGTTATTATATTATTGGTAAATGTAGAAAGGAGGGGCTGAACTGCGCAAAACATTGGGACCAACTACATTTCACGAATTCAGATTTAAAAAGATCGTTGGCTTGATATAGAAACTCTTAAAATAAGTAGAAAGTTTTGAACTATATGAAGCTGTTCCAGACGCTACAATAGGAACGTTTGCTTTGTGTAAATGAAGAATTTCATTTTATTTTGCATAATTCATTGCCAGCTTCTCTCTTTCACAATTTCAGCTACACGATAATAGAGTAGCTTAGTTCAGGATTCTTAAGAGTTACCAAAAGCTACACAATAAGTGATATTAGATCGCAAATCTACATATATTCCATCATGACCCACACTGTTCGAATCCATGATATAAAATACTGATAATAAAGCATCAAAAAATATTCAGCCGATCACCATCATCGCCAGCTCGTCGTCGCTCTCGTTCCCGTCGACGCAGTCGTTCACGTTCCCCACGACGAATTAGCCGTTATTCACCGATAAGACGAAGTCGGTATAACGATGGTCGTGACAATCCGGAACCGTGTTCCTGTCTTGGCGTTTTTGGCATGTCACTCAATACAACTGAGCGCGATCTGAAACGAATTTTTGGCGAATATGGAGAAATTGAATCGGTTCAACTTGTATACGATCGTTACAGTGGTCGTTCGCGTGGTTTTGGTTTTGTTTACTTTGAAACTACAAAGGAAGCAATACGAGTAGGCCCTTATTTACAAAAGTTTCCTCTTTTATGCTAGTATTTTTTTCTTTGTAAAGAGATTGAAGTATAATTTTGTCAGGATGGTGAATTTGGATTCGGAGAAATGGACTTTATATTTACAGGCAAAAGATCATCTGCGTGATGCTGTCATTGATGGAATGCGCGTTCGTGTTGATTTTTCTGTGACCAAAGGAGCTCCGAGATAGTAAGTTCACATTTCGAGCTTAAAAATATTTTTGTAGGTTTATTTTGATGGAATGATTTATGCAATTCAGGAATACATGGACTTCTTAGAATCCGAATTGGTGCTTTTCTTTTTTTTTTTTTTGAAAAAATGATGTCGAGTCCTTGTACAGTTACAGGGGGCGTTCGCCTCGTCGTTCTCGAAGCCGCAGTGTGGACAGTTATCGCAGACGTCGTTCGCGTTCTTAAGAAATTTCGATTTTGAAACAAATCCTTTTTAATATTAACTTGTTCTTGTTTATGCTAACATTAATTGTATTTTGCATTATTCAGTATATTATGTTTGTTTGTTCTTTGACATCATAAAAGCCGTATTCATAGCTATCCGTCAAAAAGTCTATTGTTGATGTTTCTGGCCTCGTTGAAGGCTCCTTTGCATTCTTTTCATTAAGTTGTTCAGTCATTGAATAGTTTGCTGATGCAGTGAGTGATTGAACACTTACCTATATATGGCTAAAAAGTGACCCAGTTAACGGACTGATCTGTTCGTTGTCTTTTTAAATTATTGTCTTCTCTTTCTTTAGCCATAATCAGTACTGCATCCTTCGAATTTACTGATGCTATTGGAATGAGGTCAGAGCGTTGCAAGCTGGTGCTTAACTTAATCTTTTTTATTAGTTGTAGTAATTTCATACGTCACTATTAATCGGGCTTTATTGACTTCAGATTATATTTCTCTTGCGTGGTGTTATTCTGCTTGCATTAAAATATCTAACAACAAAAGGTTTACGCAAATGCACGATACATCATATCTGTGTCATCAAAACTTCACATTCTGGTCTACTTCAGAAGGCAGCTGCACCATTTATATTTTAACCAAACTGTTTGGTCACTGGGCTTGTAACGGGGCATGTGGGGCAACATTACTTCTTCTGGAATTAGAATTTAAGTAGAGTTGAGTCGCACTATAGCATATTGGAAGGAGATTTACAGATAAGGTGGGGACCAAAATTCATTGTACAGGCAAATTTCGCCCTTTCAGATGGTCTGGATGCTAGTGATACTCTAGAGTGTTGTTTCCGTGCAGTTTGTCAGGATATTACGGTGAGGTTTGGGGCAGTTTTGCCTGAGATGGTGCGTATCTTCACAGCATGAAATAGCGTACCGCAAGTTATACTTTTTTGGAATTGGTTTAAGGTGAGCTAGGTCGTAAGAACTGATCTTCGGATGCAGATGAGGAGATAGTTATTACATATGACATCCGATATTTTGAAGGATATATGAGATATCGGCGAGATTTAGTGTTGATGGGTGATGGGTTTCCCATTGAAGATGTAACACATGAATAAGTCATCCACAATAAGTCATCTAATCACAACAAATCACAGAAAAATACCTAATCCTAAATGAAATATTAATTCCGTTGAACATTGCCAAATTAGATTCAGATATCACTCGACAATCAAATAGAAGAAGTACGGGTCATAGATTAAAGAACTCTTATCTTATTTCCCCCAAGTTTGATAATATCTCAATTCCACCTGTAATTTAAGAAAATACAGCAGAAAATTTCCTAATTTCTAAGGAATCATATCGGTCGTACTATGGACTGCTTGTACTTCGTACTTTGAAAGCAAGATAATTCTGCCAAATGTTTGAAATGAATTCAGCGAAGTTTGCATCCCAGACAAGTGAACGTTATGGTCAGAATGATTGAGGAAGCAAACATGTTATAAGAACGATATAATGTTTTAGTGCTATGTCATTGTTCGGTCGTCAGATCCATAGAGTATCAAGAAATAATGACATCGAACGTATCTCCTGAGGCAACGGCGACAATAGCGCAAGCATCATCTGCAAGTGATCTAACATTGGTGGATTACTTTGTGCTTGTCGGGCACGATAATAATGCTTTGCTGCAGGCAGTTATTTCGGTGTTTTTGAAATTATAACACAAAATTTAGTCAAATCACCTATATTGAATTATTGAATTTAGTTTACTTGAGCGATAATCCTATACTGTTGCACTATACTTTCAAACATTTTACCATTACTGTGTTGTAATTTTAGATGTATTCTATGCCTTGCACGAACTTATATTAAACTTATCATTCAACAAATGATACACTTTAATCAACCCTGAATTAGTGAATTTCAAATACTCACATTTCTTCAGATCGAACCAAGCGGAACAAATAATTCAGATGCGACGGAGCTACTGTATGTCCCCCCTTTGGAGCGATCTTACGTTGCTTCAGTTTTACACCATTTTCCGGAGAGACGTAGCGCATACTCGTTTCCGTCCGAGATTGTTTCGGTACATGTTTTGTTACTTTCAAAAAATAAGCATTTAACTGAAAAAAAGCTCCAGCTCTATATGATCATGATTGGATAAGTGATATACATAGTGCTACGCTAATGGATTCTAAATCTAATGGATTCTTTGGATTCTAAAATATGAGATACTTCGTGTAAAGAATATAACTTACATTTCAAGGAATACAACTTACATTTCACTATCCAAGAGTTGTATAACTGGATGAGATCTTTTAAAAAGTGTATTTGATCTTTTTTTTTCAGTTGTACATCACTTTGATACGAGATGTTTAATCAGTGCCAGTCTTCATATTCTTCCCATCTCATCTTCCTTGCCTTCATGCTTCCTTTGCCCCCTTCTTTGAAAGATATTAGTCAAACAGAAAGTCTTTCAACCTGTAGCTATGGATTAATGTAAAATTTAAAACTTGTTTTGTAACTCGTATTTCTGAAGAGTGTACAGTCAGCCATGGTTTATTATGAGAGTTTGTGGAATAAAATCAAATATAAAAATGTGTATATGTTTTCCTTCCAACAATTTTCGTCAATTTTGATCATTTTTTTCACACTTGTCAATTTTATGAAAATTTATTCTTTAAGCTGTGTTTGCCAAAAGGATTGAAATTTCACACGCAAAATGATATTCCATCTCCAGCTATGCATACCTTTGCGAACATTCGTGAGGACGGTTCACGTATTAATGGTTGCGCTCTTATTTATCATGAGGTGAGTCTTTAAGTTAGAACATTGGTCGATAAAAACAACAATGAGAAACTATATGAAATTCAAAGTATTTGTGTCAGCAATAGGGCTGGGGGTACTTACGCTGTATCAAGTAGAAAGAGTGAATACTCGTGTACTTAACGTGCAAAATTTTATAGGATTTCCAAAAATTTATTTAGCAAATTACAACTCTCGTTTCAACCTTGTTTTTCTGAGGATATAGTGTGTGAAAAGAATAAAAGTCTTATTTCTTGAAAAAAGTTTAGGAAGTTAGAGATGTTGGACTTTGTGAGCACATGTCACAGCTGCACACAGAACATGTACGGGCCTTAACAGCTCGTGAGAAAGCCACTGAACGTGCACACGTTCCTCCCGGTACTGTCTCTGGTGGTACACATACTCTTCCCAGAGGAAATCGTAAGGTTCGTTGAGTTGGTGATTTTTCTTTTTTGGCAACGAAATTTAAATTGCCAGATAAGGATTCTGATGATACAAATGTTGCCATGCCTTGGAATTCGTTTATTTACAGAATCGAGCAAAACGAACTTCGTACTACGATTCGGGCAGTTCTCGGTTGTATGTGGCTAAATGTATCTGCCTTATTAGTCGCATCCCGTTCGTTTCTGCCGGTGAACATCTACTAACTGCACTTCATTCTTTTTTCACTTCCGAAGTACAACCTCCTCCACTTCCTTTGGAAAGTTATATTTACTGGATTTTGAATGAGGTACAGAAGTTACATTTAACATATTTCATAACGCCTTTAAATTCTCCTTCAGATTCAAGTAGGACTAGTCAAGTTTCATCATGTTTCATCTATTTTCTTCAATCCCTTAATTGTAGGTTGAATTTAATCGCAGACTGTCTATACCGACTTGAACCTATATTTCAAATCGTACTACTAATTTGCAACCCCAGTATTCCCTGAAAAAACCTCATTTCAGGTCCCACTTCCAGCTCCGGGTAGCACACTGAAAATATGCTTAGATCGTATTGACATTGTTCTACAAAGGCCAGGTCCTAACGAGTTGCCTTTTTTCGATCACTCTCTCAGTTCGTTGTTCGATTTGCTCACTGTTGATAAATTTCTTCGACTTTTCACATGTTTTCTTCTTGAACACCAAATATTGCTATGCTCCAGGAGTTAGTGTTTTAGTGTTTCTGTTTTGCTGAATTTCAAACTTTCTTGTCTAGTTCGAGTGATTTTTTCTGCAGTTTTATACTATTTCATTATCTTTCAAGGAAATAAATTTTATGCTGAATTTTTTTTGAAGACCATAGTACTTTAGGTTTCCAGCGTTTAATGCTAGTTGCTGAGAGCTTGTGTTCGTTGGCATTCCCATTCCGTTGGCAACTTACGTACGTTCCAATTTTACCCTACTCACAGTTAAAGTTTATGGAAGCACCAGTGCCTTTTGTAATGGGTTTATGTTACGAAGACACCATATCAGAGCAGATTTTTCAGGTTTGCCGTAATTGAAGCTGAAATTTTTTTGTTTTTGAAGTAATTGTAGCTCTTATGGAAATCTGCATTTTTATGAATGGTTTTAAAGAAAAAAATTGAAACTAATTGCTGAATTATTTCTTGTTGAGTGAAAGTCCTTAAAATTTAGGGCAATATGTGCGTCTTAGATATCGATTCTGGTGTGCTAAATATGCCGGAAGATGTACCAGCATTACCAGATAGAACTGAATTTGCAAAAGAAGTTGCAAGCGTTCTTATGAGGTGATACTGTCCACTTACGCAATGCATTAATTTTAATAGTTGTGTAAAAAGAATTTGTAGACGCCACTTTAATTAATATGAATCTGGGCTTTTAAACATGGGACTAGGATAAAATAGTTTGTCACATATCCTTGACGTCAATCTTTTTCAATTACTTGCTAAAAGTGGAATGGCAGATATTTATTATGGGATGATTTGTATTTAAAGGAGAAAAAATGCAACAATGAAAAAATAAGCTTTTGTAATAATTTATTTCAGATATGAAGAGCAAAGTGCAGTTCTGAACGGTGAAGTAATGAGAAGACAGATCGGTGCCACAGGAAAAGATTGGTACAAAAAACGTATGTCTCGTTCATTTGACGGCGAAACATTACCCAGTATGTTGGAAGAGGATAATTCTTCCAGGCGAATAGTGTCAAGAAAGGATCTTGCTCCACTGCCTTTCGATGATGTCCTGAAACAGAGTGAAGTTTTAGCTAGGTAATTATGTTCGTCGCTTGTTTACTCTTAAGATTATAATTTATTTTTGTATTGATGCAAATACTTCTATTTTATTTAGATCATCACAAAACGTCTTTTTCAGGGTTACCGCAATTGCACATCGTGCAGGCGTCAGCATACCGTTTGAAAATATTCAGAAAGAATTACAATCTAATGATTTTTGTACAAATTCACCAGTGTGCAGAGAATATTTTAAGGTAAATGTGATATATTTCGCTCGGTATCTTCCAGTACTATAATCGGAAATTTCAAAATTTGACTTAGAGACTGCACTGTTAATGAAAAAATAAGAAATGCTGGGATGTTGTATACAGTATCCGATTGGAGATGTGCATTTTTAATTGCAGCAGAATTTGCTTGCTAGAAAAGTGATGTACTGTTTGATCTCAAGATTTTTTATTAACAGTAAATAAGGATTGAGGCTTCTTTATTGTACTGAATCGTAGAATATCTTCAGGATATGAAAATAAATAATGCTGTTCGTGAAGTATTTATCAATCGATTTGCATGGCTTCTTTACTCCTATGAACATTTTGTTATTAATACTTCATGCCCAGATCTCGAAACATATTTTGCTAGTCGAGAATCCGTTACTAATTTTGATAAAGCAACCTTCCTTTCCGACCAACCGAGTAAAAATCTACCATTTTTGGCGGCATTTTTGGAAACTCAGGTATGAAATTTCGTTTCATCTTTGTTTTTGGTAATATGTTTTGACTTGCATTTGGTTCTACTCCTATTTTATTGTTTTATCTGAAAATTCTTTGGTGGCTTAGTTGTTAAAATATATCGTTTTGAGGTACATAACATTTAATTTCTTTTTCAGATGTTCACCTCATTCATTGATGCAAAAATTGTTTCGCAGTGGAAAACAGCTGACGAAAATCTCCAAATCTTTGATTCTCGAATACAAACATTGCGTACAAAGTATGGCCTTCAAATGGTGCGTACTCCTACTTATGAAAAGGCTCCACGATCCTTCGATACAGGTTTTGTTGGACAAATCATTTGATTTGAGTCGTATAAACTTAAACTAACACTCTTTCTTTTTTAACATATCAGGTAATGAATTTTTCTGTCTACTATCAATAGATTTATCTTTCCTCCTGCTTCCAAATATGCACCCAAATTGCCAGTTTCTTCAATAAATTGTTTTTCAATACTCCAACTGCAGTGAATGGCGAAAAGTGGTCCCAGATAGTTAGTCTCTTTTTGATCCATCGAAATATTTGCTGAAGTCATATTTTTTCACATTCTGCCACATCAATTGTCACCATTGTGGGTTAAAATAAGAAAAATAATCTCATTCAAGTAAAACATGGTGATATTGGAAGTCGGGCGTTAAAGTAGAGAACGCGACTCAATGGATCATAAAAGAATTAAAATGACAAGAGCCTTGATAATTTTGGGTTGATTTTGAAATTTGCTTCATCGTTTCGTAATTTTTTTATAGAAGAAATGATAACAAAACGTGAAGAAGCACTTGATTACATTGTTCCTCTACCACATGAGCTTCCTGGTACATCAGCAATAGCTTACGATGGTACATTTCCGGAACTTAATGAAGCTGTTTTGGAAGGTTCTTTTGTACGAAGTCCAGTGCCATCACCGTGGAAGCAGCGGCATCGAAGGTTACGGCCAAAGTTGCTGGAGGTCAGCTTTTCCATGTTACCTTTATATGATTTTGATTTAGTCCCTGGAATCAGTGGTTCCAGGGATTTAATCGAATCAGTGGATTCCTAAAATAACTGCTAGATATTTCTAGTACTTCAAAGTTCATTTTATTGCAGAGTATTATTGTGGATGGAAACACAACAAATAAACAAAGCTCATGTAAATCGGATACACCAAGACAAATAGCACATCAAAACTGGAAATTTGTTGAACAGTTGTTGAAAGAGACTAAAAGTAAGCATCCGGTTGTAGCAGTTTAATATTCCGCATGTTCTAGATATATTAATGAGCATGTAATATTAATGAGGATGTAATATAAAATAAATACGAAATTCGATTTGCATAGATCTGGATTAATCTATTGTTTTAGGTAAAACAAAGCGAATGCTTGTGGAAAAAATGGGCAGGGAAGCACTGCAGCTTGGACATAGTGATGCTATTGTAAATGGTCTTGAAGAGAATACTTTAGTTGCTTCATTTTGTGATTTATTGGAACGAATCTGGGCCCATGGTTCAGTGAAGAAACAGGTACTTCGGTTTGTCAAGAATAAACCAAAACATTTATTATTGCTTATCATGAATTTTCGAAATACAGTATAACAATTATTATTTCAAATTTTGTTATCAAATAACATAAAACTATGAGCTTCGAAAATTTCCTCTCTTATTATTTCTAGTAAACTAAACATATAGCCACCATCCATGACCACAAACTTAAAATTTAAATAAGCAATTCTCCACGAAAAAATAGAAATTTTCGTTAAATTGGATTGGAAAATAGTGAAATTGGTCCCTTGCCTCTGTGGTGGACCATTGATGGATTAATATGCAGTTTGGAAACTTAATGAATTTGTCTTTATAAGGTGCTTCATTTTTCACAAATTCTCATCAAATGAAGAAAGAAAAAATTGTCATTGTTGGAAACTTTTTAAAATTAGAGAAGATTATAGTATTCAGCTGTAATCAATTTTGCTATTTTGGCAGGAACTTTGATAACTATTTTCAGAGCGTATTTGAGGTAATTAGCAACCGACAGTTCAGGGACTCATTTATTGTAAAGATGTTGTTTAGGGCAAATCATCCTTATGGGCTCACATTTTGCATCATCAAGAAATAGAAAAGTTGGGTATACTGTCTCGCGGTTCTACACGAAGAAATTCGGCACTGACTCCAGGTATTTTTATTAGAAAGATAAAAATGTGAGAAGTTATTTTTGCGACGAATTGTTCCATAATCAAGCTTGAATTGAAGAGGATTTACTGTTGGTTTATCTTATTACTGTTGTTTCTGTTTAAATAAGCTTCTATTATTAAATACACGAAGTTATCGATCACTGTTGAGAACAGTATTTATAAGAGCGTTTCTGGACGATAGCAGTCTGACAATCAATTTTCCATTTCTCAGAAAATGGATAAAAAAGGTAAATATGCCCCAAAAAAAAAAAAAAAAACAGACGAGTCGACTGAAAGCAGTTTATAGCATTTGCATGGCTGTTACTGCGTCGTCACTTTGAGCGTAAGCAACATTTTATATTATCTATTCTGTGGCTAAAGCTTTTTGTAGTACTTGCTGATTATGGTACTCAAGTACGCAGCGTGAATGTGCTTCTCGTTGTGAAATAATGCTTATGTGAAATAATGCTTAAAATGATATGCACAATGGTGACGCATATGTTATGTTAATTTTTAGGGAGTTGTTTAGGACGATTGTTTTTCTATTTCCTTTGTAAAGTTTGCAAATGCCTTGTTCACTTTATTCGATGTGTACTGTAATTTCTTATAATTTACTTTAACATTTTAATATACAGATAAGTGAGATACCTTCTTGGTCGATCTGATATTTGAAAAAAGATTTTTGGGAAAGATAACGAAGAGTGAAGTGACTGAAATTATTCCTTAACATTACTTCTGTATAGTTGAAGTAGAGATACTTCATCATTCCTTTATTCACTTATCATCGGTGTATCGCCCATCCATCTTTGTTTCTGATTCTTGAACGCTTCTATGTTGCTTTTTTTTCGTTAGATTTTAGCAATATTCTTCTAAGGGAGAAGTTCATGATGTTTCAGCGAGGATGATAGAGAGTTGTATAAGCACTTTCAAAACTCATTTTTTGAAATTCCGTTTTCATCGCGTCTACTCAGTCAATTCTAGGTATAGTTGAGATAAAGCATGAGTCACACAACGAGCAAGAGTATATGAAGCAAGAAAAGAAGACATTTGTAAGTGTCATGGATGAGGATTCAGTTGACGAGCTTGCTCGAAATATTCGTCAGCAATGCATTGATGATCCTCATGCGCCTGCCTGGTCTCTTCCAATTCTTCGTGCTGCTAATTTTATCTGTGATAAATTGAGTTCGAATGTAAATAACAACGTGGAATATTCGAACTGGAAATTACCAGCTCGAACAGCAGGTCTGTCATCAAGTGCGGTTGTTTTTGGACGTTCCAGGTCACCACAGAAGACGTCGAGGAAGGGGGCTATTTTGCATAGAGCAAGTTCTTTTAGTGGTAAGATTTTGAATGATATCGAATTTGACATAGTGTAGTTTGCTTATAGTTAATCAGCGGTATCTTCATTTTTAACCTATTTAATATGAAAGCTGTCACTATTAAATGCTACAGTATTGCCGTGATAGTAATTGCACTAGCTATTGCTGATATTGCCATACTGTCATCTGTTCCGCGTAACATTTTGCAACATTGACAAGTGCTCGCCTATTGACTTACTAGTACATGTTAACTTTTAAATCAAGAATCAAGCTGACTATTTCTTCGATTAACTTTCCAGATAATATTGGTCTTTGTAAGCTATAGCCAAGTACATATCCATTATGTTCCAACTGTGTTGAGTCTACCCGCAGACAGCTGTGCGTTGCTTATAACTGCGGTTATACTGTAATAATAGTTGGGCGTATTCATTTATACTTTTAGCAAAGTCCATTTAAGTGAAGCTCAATTTTTACTGAAAAAACAGATCTACAACAGGTGACACCAGAAAAATGAAAGGAGGAGCTGTTCACACAATAGCCATGATAACAAAATTGAGAGAGTAACAAGATTACGTCACTTTGCAGTACCATTCTTCGCCCATAACGCTTTATTCACTTTTAATTGAGCTTAAGTTATAAAATAAAATAATGTTTCCTTAGGTGTAAATCATATGCTTAATTGCAGTAATCGACAACAAATCTTTGAATCTTTACGTTCCTTCCGGTTCAGGTGTTTTAGCCGAATCATTCTATTTACTGCTCTTCAAATGCTGCTCTTCACTACTTTACTGCTCTTAATGCTGCTCTTACTGCTTTTTCTTCCTTAGGTTTAGAGACCGTACAACATTTTTCTAAATTAGCTAATTCTTTCCTGACCCTAGCATCTGTTTTTTTTGGATTTGATCCATTGCTGCAGAGGGTAGTGCATTACAAGAAGACTATTTCTGTTCACCCTCAGTGTTTGCATGTTTTACTTCCCTATCACTGTGAACTGTATTTGGCGAAGAATTACCTAAAAACATCGGTACGTTCTCTTTATATACTAGATCACGCTCCATAAAATTGCTTAGTAAACACGAAGATTGGAGTTTCAGTTCTCATAGAAGCTCAATGTGCTAGATGAAGTCTCTCAACCATTTTGATTACTCTACGAGTTAAGCTGTTCCTCCATGCATTGATATTTATTTAACTGGTTCAAAGTGGAACTTTGTTTACATTCACTGGCCGCAGTTCCCCTTCTCTAATAGTGCATCTGTTTCCTAGTAGAGAAAAGTGGTTGAAAAAAAATTTTCACCTTCAAATTACATTCTTTTTCTTTGCACATATGCATTCATCGTTACTTTGACAAAGGTATACAGTCTTGTTAGAAAAAAACAAAGGTATACAGTCAGATTCAAGATTTATCCTTTGTCTGAATTTTAAGTTTTTTGAAATTTTGCTTTGTAAATATGAAGCTCTCTTTGCTTATTGATATTTTATTTTTTAAATTTTGTAAGACTAATCAAAATGATATATTTTTTAGATTTTGCTCCTTACTGGACTACAGCTGGAAATAATTTGAATGAAAACGTAACTGATTCATCACGTAAAAGAAGTAGTTCGAGAGGTGGTAGCCCAGATATTCGACAGTTCCTTGCACCATTGCCTATGCATATAGCTTACGATTTGAAGTATATCATAATGTTCAAATTTTGTCAAATGTTTCGAAATTCAAATAATCAAAAATCTTTAAATTCAAACATTAGATTGCAAAAAGGCAAATCAAAGAAAAGTATTGTTGAATGCAGTAATAGCGGTTTTTCATCAGATATCTTTTTTTTTGCGTTGAAAAGACACCAGATTGCTGAATATATATTTCAGGAATGTCTTACGAATGACAGATATCAAAACCGATATTGGTTACGCGCGGGCCTTTGTTCGCCTCGCCTTAGAAAGGAAACTTCTTCATAAACATCTCAAAACTGTTCTTGGCAATACACATCTTTTACAGTTAGTTTGGTCTCACTACTAATTAGTTCTTAAATGTTGACGACTCATACCTGTTTCTGGAATATTTTTGGAATATGTTTTTGAAATATTAGTGGTTACTGTTATCTACAAGACACTCGTTGCTATATTCTTGTTGTTGACGAAAAGGGGTTGTGAATAAAGTGCAAATGACATTTGGCATTTTCTGATCTTGTTTACACCAGTTATTATAGTAAAAATTTATTTTAAATATTAAAATTAGTGTGCTGCTTTGTTGTTAAAATAGATTAAGTTGATGCGGAGTGGTGGAAATATCTTTATTAAGCTATTACTCTATTGAATAACACGTAAACGTGATTTAATCGTGACAAGTTTGTTTTTAGGCAGCTATATAAGCGATATGCCTTTCTGCGGTGCGACGACGAGAAAGAACAATTCTTATATCACGTGTTATCATTAAATGCAGCTGAATTTAACTGTTTTACCAACTCTTTCAAGAAAACAAGTCATTTGCTCTTATTTTCACTTTTTTTTAAAAGAGTCGTACGTGTGCATTTACAGATACTGTCATACAAGTTTAATCAAAATATTAAATCAACCTTAGTTATTGGAAAAGGCGCATACTTGTCGGTTCTCTTAATGGAGCACCAAAAATTTTTTGAATATTTTAGTCAATAGCAATACGTAGAAAAATAAACAATTTTTTTGATTAACTATCTTAGCATGTTTTTTTTTTGTGGGGATAAAAATTTTAGAATTACTGGCAGCTTGGAGCGCTTTTCATTATTATTTATAGCCTGGATTTTATAGTGATATGTTGTTATTATTCAGATATGTTGTTATTATTCAGATGAAGAAATGTTGCGATGCGTTCACATAATACCATCATCAGTTCTAGAGTGATATTGATGCTATACTTTCTTGTTTCATCTCATCATTTCAGAAATGCAGTACCATGTTTTGTTGGTTAGTCGCAATTCTCGTTCGATTATTTCATGGCCTGTGTGGATCATTATCACGGGGTCGTTGTGTTCAACGACTGCAATCGAACTAAAACAGGGCATATTGGATTTCACATTTGATGTAAGCAGACTTGGTTGTTCTATTGTGGATCTTTTATTTTTGCTATAATTATATGGGCAAGTTGGATCTTATTTCCATCTTACTTTTATTTTTCTAAAGTGGAAAAAAATGAAGGATAATTTCACATCGATTCAGATTTCATCCAATTTTAATCATTTTAGTTTTCCGATGTTTACCCCTTCAAGAACTTCAATTTTTTTTTAGTATAGAAATCTTGGTATGCTATCAACATTAAGAATCGGACATGGTAATTTGAATGTTTCTAATGGAGCATCTCCGAAATGGTTTCTTGATTATGTTCGTACATTTTTTTCCTTTTTCTGAAATTTTCAAAAAATTATGACATAATAAACAGCTTTGAGGCCACTTTTTGCGCCTGACTTCATCAGTAATTTCCAGAAAGTGCTTTTTCATGAAATTTATTCATGTGCATAAGTTTCACTGTAGGTCTTAGTGCGAAATGAAATAACAGGACAAAGTTATCGCTTTAACTGTGGGCGCTGGTTCGGTAAAGGAATTGATGATGGCTCCCTGGAAAGATTGCTTGTTGCCGAAAAAGAACCACAGGTGGTGTTTGTTCTGAAGATGTTCTGTCGGTGAATGTAGCCATCAAAAAGTGTGTTTTATTTTTAATGAAAGATTAGTCCAGAGTGCAAAATTCAGCATAGCCAGATCTGAAAAGGTTTAAGAATTCAGTTTTGCATACTGTACAACTATTTTTTATCAGAAAAGTAAGAATCTACTGATTGCAGATTGCTCCTAACGAGGTGCTAGTCGAAGAATGTTCTTCGGAACGTGTTATTAAAGCTAGCTCGAAGAGTCGAACTCCTCCGCGGTCCCGATCACCAAGTACTAGCCGATCTGAAACATGGAGTCGTAAGTTGTCAAGTAACATTTTAAGGAATGTTTTTCAAAGCATGTGTTTTTTCTCATTTTGGCATGATAGTTTGGAGATATATGGAAGTTCTAAGTCAGTTATATATATTTTTTTTATGGATTGAATTACAAAATAGGCATTTCTCCACGAACATTCCTTTGTCAGGGAAGAGTGGTAGGGGGAGGGGGGGGGGGGGGAGGAAGAGACTTGCGTGCTCTTATGAGATTGGGAGCTGTGCTGGCGGTGGCAATTGCCACCGTAAAACCTCCCATCCAAACAGGTCTCAACTGAAGGGTCAGACAAAGCGTGTTTCATGGATAAGATGGGCTCGTCAGTCTTCGGCAACCATTTGGGAGAAGGACAACTCTAATCCCTAACCCGAGCAGATGCAGCTCGTCTAGCCCTTATAAAAAGACATCCATGTCAGATAAGGATGCCCTAACTAAAAACGTAGGTTTACTACGTTCTAAGGACTTCGCTGCTACAATCCAAGCTCGCTAGGCCATGGCAGATGAACCCTAGGAGTAAACGGTGAAACTACTTCGGCGCACACTATCTAATTTAAAAAATGCATTGCGCAGGCTTGAAGGATACACTCACTTTTTAAAGTCCTGTAGCGACAGAAAAGGGACGAAACGGCATGTGATAGCAAGCACTTGAAACCGCAGACCCTATTCTGCATGCAAGCGGTTCACTATAGTGGTCGACCGAGACTTACCCTGGAGATGAAGTCTTGGTTGGCAGCATCCTGAAGGACCAAACAGTCTTTCTTAAAGGAAAGCACTGTTTGCTGTATACGGAGAGTGGTCTAAAAAAGGTGGCCTAACCAAAACTATTCTCCATCTCCATCCGGTTGACTAACCGCGCCCAATGAGCATCTTCTGATGCCTCGAAGAAAGACAAAAAACATACACCTATGTCTAAAGTTGAACAAAAATTGACACTTGCGTGCTGGAACATCAGAACCAAACGTCTTTTGTTCTAACTGCTCAAGAACTATCATGACTCAACATCGATATTACTGCTTTTAGTGAAGTTCATCTTTACGAGGAAGGTAGTCTCAATGAACACGGTACCGACTATATATGCTGCTGGCCAGGAAAACCCAAAACCAAAAGTCATCTTTTAGGAGTTGGTTTCATGGTTAACTCCATCGCCTCCAAACTTGAAAATCTGCTGACAGTTATTTATCTGACTCTGTGGAGAAAAACAGATTCTATACCGAGAACTGGAAAGAACTCCGATGCCTGGGAAGGTGTATTAGGCAAGCATGGTACTGGAAACTGCAACGACAATGACAACGAACGGCTTCTGCCAGAGTTTTGTGAAGAGCAACAACTCATAATAACTATGAACGCTATCTTTCAGCAGAGAGGCAATTTAGAGACAACGTAGATGCATCCTCGATCCAAGCACTGGCATTCCATTAACTATGTCTTAATGCGTCAAAGAAACGCAATGTTCATCACACTTATGTGATGCCTTAGTAATGTCAAACAGATCGCTTTGTGCGATGTAAACTTAACCTCTGCTTTAAATCCAAAGAATTAATTCGAAGAAGAAAGCTCGAAATTAACAATCTCTGAACACCTACAGTGTGAGATAGCTTCCAGACGAATTTTCAAACAAGATTTCAAGATCAGTCACAGATCCTTCTCCTGAAGCGCTTTTGCAACATATTAAAACCAGCATCCTGTGGTCTTACGTGGAATCTTTAGGATTCTCCTGCAAGAGAAATAAATCCAGACTCAGAATTTGTTGGTAAAGAAAAGATCTCACCAAGCACACCTCGCTCAGGCATCCTGTCATATAAGAAAAGTCACCTTTCGCCTTGTATGCAGCAAGCTCCTACAGAAATTTCGAGATATCCGAACAAATGGTGGATCAACTTAGTCGAAAACATTCAACTGTGCGCAGATTCGGGTGACTAAAGAGAATTCTACGAAGTCTGAAAGCCATGAATGGATCCACACATCACGCTCAAAGCTCCCTAAGTGCAGATGGCGAAACGCTTCTCACTGACAAAACCCTGTCGTGAATGGATGGTCTAAACATTTCTAGACTCTTCAGTGCCAGCCGTGCGGTCCAAGGCTCAGTAATTCAGCACATTACGCAACAACCGCTGAAAAGTGAATTGGATATGACCACCATTATGGCAGCGATGCTCAAGGTCATATAGCAAATGAAAACTGGCTGCCAACTGGAATGATAGTATCCCACCTGAGGTCTGGAAGCATTGAGGTCAAGCACTTCACGCTAAGTTTCACGAGCTCGTTGTGCGATGTTGGAAAAATGTGAACTTACAGCAGATCTCCGGGATGCAATCATTATTACCGTATACAAGGACAAAGAAGTAAAATCAGACTGCTCAAATTGCCGAGGTATCACTCCTTATTGTAACCAAAATCTTAGCAAAAATACTTCTGAACCGAGTGGTACCCGCTATATTAGAAAAAGTTCTGCTTGAAAGCCAGTGTGGCTTCAAAGTCAATAGAAGCAACACAGATATGGTGTTTCTTCATCGACAACTGCAAATGCAGAAAACGAACAGAGGTCTCTATATAATCTTTGTAGACCTCACCAAAGCCTTTGACACTGTGAACTCCTATAGCAGATCTCGGAACGACTATTATATCCTCCCAAGTTCGTGAAAATGACCATGCTACTACGTGAGAATCAATGTGACTAAATTAGATATGGCGATGCACTCTCAGACTTTTTCCAATAATCAATGGGGTAAAACAAAACTGCGTTCTTGCACCAACTTCACAGTTTACTTCAGCATGATGTTCTAAAAAGTCACGGCAGACCTAGATGAAGAAAATGGTATTCACATCCGATATCGTACCGACGGAAGCTTATTCAACCTAAGGCGACTAAAGGCCCATCCTGAGACCCTAAATTGCTACGTCTGAGAGCTATTTTTTGCCGATGATCCCGCCCTCGTCGCTTATACAGAAGTAATTCTGCAGCGCTTAACATCTTATTTTGCAGAGACCGCAGAGCTTTTTGCGTTAAAAGTAAGCTTGAAAAAGACAAAAGTTTTCTACTAGCCTACATCGCAGGATGACTAGTTTCATCCTCACATTACCGTAGGAATCAGAGCCTAAGTCAATCCAACAGTTCAGCTGTTTGGGCAGCATCACGTTTTTCGATGTATCGACAAAGAGATTGACAACAGGCCAGCAAAAGCATACAGAGTTTTCGGAAAATTTCATAGAAGAGTCTGGTGTAATAAACCCTGAGGAGAGGAACTAAGTTGTGTCTATAAAGCCATTGACCTGTCTGTTCTATTAAGTAATTCTGAATCATGAATCATTTAAAAAAGCCCCAAAAAGGAGATACAATGACGCCCTAAAACAATATCTCAGCCTTGTCATATAGTGGTTCACTCTGGCCTCCGATCAATAGTCATGGGGACACATCATCCATAACACTGCTGCTTTCTTCGAGAACACAAGCAGACGCAGCCTCAAGGATAAACGACAAGGCAGAAAAAACCGTACTTCATTAATACCGCTTAAGAAGACTTTCCACTGTGCTTTTTGCGTTCGAACTTATCTATCTCACATTGGCCTTCTTAGCCATTAGCGCGTGTGCAACAAACATGGGTATAACCCTTCGCATATTTTTGTTTGCGAAGCTTGGCTACGGCAACAAAATAGGCTTTAGATATTGTAGATAACAAGCATTTTTCTGACATAATTCAAAAAAAAAGCCCTTAATTCATGAAGTCTTAACTACATACTTAAGAAATTTTAAGTTCATTTTATTTTGGATGTAAAAATATGTGGATTTGTAGGTGTACATTTGACAGAAATTCAGCAGCAGCTTGGGGAAGCAGTGAATGCGCTAGTGAAATACTTCTACACTAGTGCGGAAGGTGGTAGTCGTGGTGAATTGACACAGTTACTTTGCGCGCCAGGGAAAGGCTTCGTTAGCGTGATGGTTGTTGTTTTCATGTATGGCCGTCAGGATTCCATTTGGTCTGCTCGTCTTTTTCGTTCACACTATCCATGGGATTACATCGGTATATGTTGTGAAATTATAATGAAATTTCAAAGAAGTTTCAGATTTCAGAAGTTTTATTTTTTATTCTCATATTTCGAAATATTCCATACCAAAGAGGAAAAAAAGGTTAGCATTCCCATCGTGCGTTTCTAATCGCTTAGTGCATTTTGTTAGCGTTCAGGTAGGGATAGAATTGGTGACATAATTTTATGCTATAGTTTTTAATTTTTTATTGTTTCAGAGAAGGTTTGCGTCTGGTTTTGGGATCTAATACATATGGAAGACACAAAAAGGCTAACACGAGAACAACATTCTCTCATCATTCAGGCATGCCGCCTTGTTCGCCGCATTTCATCTAATATTTTTCTGGGGAAAGATGGCAAATTTCAGCTATTCATTCTAATTACTGTTCGGTAAATGGTTATTTCTATAAATTGTTTCACCCTTCCCATAACTTTACTATTCGTTTAGAAAGCTGAGCATATAGTTTACCTTTTCATTGTAACTACATTGAAATGGAATCTAGAAGCAATTCATGCAAGTTTTTCCAGAGATCATATATTGTCGGGATTGTTGCCGTTGATGGCTTGGACTCCGATAACGTCGCAGATGTACGAAGAACCATCTTTTTACGAACACCGCATTATTTAAATTACATATCAAAATTAATTAGTTCACTTAACGAATTCCACTTTATCCTGGAAAAATCACTCACGTATGGCATAGAATAAATTCAGATTTTGAAGTTCAAATTTATTACGTAAAATATCCATCTTAATGTATTCCTTCTGACTTTTTCTTTGTTCGTCTTTTTATCTCTTTATTTAGTACAAGTATTATTTCGAAGATTTTAATTGTAATATGCAAGTTACGTTTTAAAGACTAAAAAGAAAAATTGTTGTATTTTGCAGTCCCTTCTCCTAACTGCAGCAATTATAATTTGAAAACCTTCCACTTTTGTTTTCCAGATCCTGGTCTACATTTAGAAAAGCTTTAGTTGAGATTCGTGAAGAAAACACAAAGAATCTATAATGATCGGTTCTATCGAAGTTAGCTATTATTTGGAAGGACATACTTTTACTCATGTAATCGTTCTACCCTATGCTACAAACTTTTTCGCGTTTCAGGAACAACCACTTCAAATAGCATTTTAGCGGTACGCATCTATTGAAGTAAATTAAATTCGTTCTGCGCTGTTTTCGTTTTACACCGTTACTACTCTGAGGTTGTCGAAACTGTATGGATTCAGACGGTATTTTTTCTTTTAGTATCTTAATTTAGCTAATTTTAAGTGCTCTCTGAACTTTCCGTTTTTCTTTAAAATTTTCGTTAGTAAATTTTGTTTCTTAAAAGATGCAACTCAAGCTAGAATACTTGGCTTGTATGCCATATGTGAAAGTTAGTAGAGCAGAGTTAACTCCCAACTACCCTTTTAATTTTTTCCAATCACACGAACTTTTTTTCATCGAAATTATGAATCTCCTTATTGGGTTTCCAAAAAAAAATCAAAGCATTTTTATAATCCTCAAAACGATGAATTTCCAATTGTTAAACTGTTTTCGTTTCAAATATCCGAAGTTCCATCAAACTTATAAATCTTTGGGCAAATTTCAATGAAATCATAAATCTTCCTATTGAATTTTTGTGATTCTGTTTAAAATTAAACATTGCGCATTGCCGTTGGTATTCTCAATACTTTTCTGCATACTTTTAATTGGGTTGCCTCACAGAATCTTACCTAACAGCATGTTAAGTAAAAGTCTTAGGGCTCCAAATATATGATTTGAAATAGTTTTAGATCCATTTTTTTTTTTTTTGAAACGGTGTTTTTCTCATTTATAACATTTGTATTTTCGAGTCTTTCAGTTTCAACAACTTTAAATTTCACCTGAATCTCTAATAGTGCTTTTTTTTTGTACTCCCCTATATTTCACTATATTTCTTTTTCCACCATTTATAAATCTATTTGCTTTGCAGATGAAACCTTGAAATTAGTCAGTTATTATCTCATTTATTCTGTGTTCCTCTATATTGGTTTATAACTTGTTTAGTATGATTGTAAAATCAGTACTGTTTTCGAGAAAATAAAAAATATATATTTGAGGCTTTTTTCTTAAAATCATAAGTAACTGGCATGTTCCTTACAACGTTATCCGCTTAAAGGATTGTGTTTTTTATATAGATTTACAATTTCATACAGTTTTATTAATTAAAATTTTGAAACGAAATTTAAGAAGAATCTGGTAAGAATGGTTCGAGGAATTCATAATGTTGGTATCTTATTTAAATTGCTTCCAGTCAATCGTTGTATGAATTCTCATTTCGTGACAGTGGCTACAGAATTTAAATTTCTTGTTTCAGTGATTAATTCATTTAATTCAGCACTTTTTAGCGACGGGACAGAATTATAGTAGTAATTACAGTTTTTTTTTTATGGGAAAGGAATCTTGAGTAAAGTATATTCTTTCTGAAGAATTGGACGAGAAACATGACGAGGAAAATGAATGAGAGATTTATTCAACACCTACGAATTATGTGAAGTTGAAATCTACACGGCATTTATAGGAAAGCATTACGGATTGCGACAAAAACTTGAGGACTAATATGAAAGATTCCCCACTTTTAATTCGTATCAGTACAGCGATATCGTATGCTGTATGTTCGGTGCTAATTGTTTTTATCAACAAAGTATTGCTCACCAACTTTGGGTTTACTTTTATTTCATTAAGTTTGGAATAAATGTTTATATTAAAAAGAGGCATCTATTTACAGTCTATGTTCTTTTTTGAATTTGTTCAATTTCTTTTCGCTATACATCAATGATCCTATTGTATGTATTCTTCGGATTTCAGATTTCCATCATTTTTAATTGTTGGATTAGGACAGATGATAGCGACTGTTGTAATTTTGTGGTTTGCTGCTCTCCTGAATTTCGTCTCAATTCCCCCATTCGATTTATCCGTTCCACTTAAGGTTACATTATAGAATGATTATTCAACAGTGAAAAATGAAAAATCACATGTCCAAGTATTGTCTAGACAAAAGTATCAAGCACAGAAGAATGAACTTTCGAAAAAAATCATTACTTTTGCGAACTGAATTAAAATTTTTTGAACTTATTAAGACAGTTATAACGTTTTTTTCGAACTCCTCGTTATTTGGCTCATTTTTTTTCTCAGATTTTCCCATTGCCAGTTTTCTATGTTCTGAATCTAATATCCGGATTGAGTGGCACACAAAGGATAAGGTATGGTTTTTATTTTGTGGATGATAATATTTCTTTTGTTCACTTACAAATTTCAGTAGTGGCAAATTGCATGTAAAATTGTATCAATATTTCCAGTCTTCCGATGTTCACTGTGTTACGTAGATTTTCAATCTTGATGACAATGGTGCTGGAATATGTTATACTTGGGTTAGCTTCTATTTATTTATCCACATCTCTTTACATTATGGCCTTTACATTCCACATCAAACATTTGGAGCATCACAACTACTAACAGTTCAGTTTTTCAGTTTCCAATGAATAATTATCAAAATTGTTTAGCATCTCCGCTGCAGATCTATTTTTAACAAGTTGTACGCATACATTAGGCAACACCATCAGTCTCTGGTGTTCTCAGTTTAAACTGTTAGTTTAGTTGGAGGTCGGTATTATACGGCGTGTAATTTTTTTAATCAGATACAGAATTATGAAGATTTTTTTTTAAATCTTCCATAAAGAAAAAATTTTTTTGAATCAGATCTTCCAAAAAGAATTTTGTTTTCTTTTTTCTCGAAAATCTGGCGACATTTAGATGTAAAATTGAAAATCAAGCTTAAAACATTTTCAAATTATCATGACATTTCCAGCTTTACAGGGTGAAAGCATCGTATGCGGTGAAAATCTCGGTTGCTTTGATGATTCTAGGTTCTGTGATTGCAGCTGTGTAAGTTTATTTGTTTTTTATATCGTAGAACTGTAGATTGACAGTTTGTACACTAGTCCATTAATGTATGGAACGGATTCATCGAATACACTAGTTCATTGATGTATAGAACAGATTCATGTTCTACGGATTCATCAAAATTTTACTTCTATGAGATCTATGAGATATCCTAACGGGAATGATTTGTGCAAACTGTATGGTGCGGAATATGAAGTAAACTTCAATTTAATTCTTGTTGCTACGATCTTGTCATAATTGATGCCGGGAACTATTCGTTTTGTGCTAAAAAGAATTTTCGATTTTCTTACGAATAAGCTATAGATTCTTTTTTAAGAAAAAAAGTGAAGTGCAGAAGAATTCATATCTATCTCTTGGACTATTGCTGTTCAGAAAGATTTTACGAAATAGCACTTTGCCGTGAATGTATCATCTTACCAATGTTTCTCTAATTTACTGGGGTTAACTTTTAATTTGAAAACATTTGAGTAGGTACTATTATAATTTAAAATTACCACCACAGAAAAATCTGTCCCAATGTATTTCAATTTACAGGTTTGATCTAACATTTGACGTTTGGGGATATTCGATGATTTTGATCAACGACATCTGTACAGCCGCTAATAGCGTTTACATGAAACAAAAGCTTATTGCTAAGGTATAACCTAGACTTTAATGCTTCGACATGAACATTTTCATATATCTTGTCTTCTCTTTATGCTTTGTTATCTTACTGAAGATTAGACCATTTCAGAAGTTTGATAAATACGCTCTTTTATATTACAATGCATTATTGATGATTTTTCCTGTGATTATTTTGGCTTGGATAAATCGGGAATTTGAAAAGGTATTGAAAGGAACAACTTAAAGTGACTCGGTTTTTTTTTCGCGAAAAAACTTGCTTCAGTATCACTTTATTATCACATTATTCTCTTCGTCATTTTCGCTGCTGTTACTAATTTATCACCATTAATTATTTTTATTTTCACTACAAGCCATGTTTTTTCATTTAATTTTTATTTTTGATATCGTTAGTTTTTTTAAAAGCAATTAGTTTACCTAATAACTTGAAATTTCGTTTCGAATGATATTTATAAGTTGCCTTCTTACAATTTAGCAACTGCTGTGGCTTTTAAAGCAAGCAGCAACAAATATTTTGTTTTCAAAATATTCGAAATGAGTAGATGCTTTTAAAATATTCGAAATCACTAGATATTTTCTCTTACCGTCATGACATTTAACACATTGAAAGGATTTAGACAGAAGTTCATTAGATTAGAAGTGATTCTGAAGTGACATATGCTAAATTTGAAATAATGGAAATAATAGACACTTTTTAGATACATCAATACATAAGTGCTGGAAATATGACTATATGGGTAGCTGCTTGCTTATCATTTTCGTTTGTTTGCGGCTACTTGCTCAATTGTTCGATCGTTTTATGTACACATCATAATAGTGCCCTTACCACTTCATGTGTCGGTCCAGTTAAAGTGAGTCCTTGTCATTTAAAATTTTTTTCGAACGCTTTGGTCGCTCCTTTTATTGCTAAGCAAGCTTTAGGTGGACAACTCGGAACCCCTTAAAATCCGTATGTTTTTGGGATTTTTATGGAAGCGAACCTCCATTAATAAAAGGGTAATGACCTGATTACCTGCCTTGATTAATAAACAGCATGCCGAAAGTATGAGTTGCTAAAATAGTCGATTGTTTTATATGGTGATGACACATCTCCGTATCATAGAGTATCAATCCACGCATGTTGGATTGATACTTCTGTGATGTGGAGAAGTTATCACCATATAGAAAAATCGTTCAAACACTAAATATAATCATGATGTTACACTGGCCATCCAGAAGTATTATTCTCCTTTTTCTATAGAAAGTGATGAACAGGTAACGAATAGCAAAAGCTGAGATTTATTTTTGCATAATATGAAATACAATGGAACAAATATACTCTGCATATGGAGAACAATTTAGATGGGTAAGAGTGTAATGGCATAACAGGGCAAGTGCAGAACTTAACGGTCGGGATAAACTGCATCATTGATAAGACTACGGATGAAAATCGTTAATCTATACATACAGACGCCGCCAAATGTCAACACTCTCAGAATTGTAGCTATGTCTTTCGTCCAGGGATGCTGTTACCATGAATAAAAGGATGACTTTTCAACACTTGTGATATATCATCTATCAGAATTTAAACCAACTTTTTTATTTCGATCCCGTTCAAATTCAGCATTTTAGAACTTACTTGTAACGTATGTTGGGATGTTTTCATCGGGCGATTATTTATTTGGATGGAACAACTTTATTGGTATCAATATCAGCATTGTGGGGAGTCTTCTTTATACTTACGTCACATTTAGAACAGAGGAAAAAGGTGTACAGCATATGATCGTTAAAACGTCATCTAATGTTGACGATCAACAGCCTTTATTATAATACATTAAGCATACTTCCACATTAATTTGATATGTTGTTTTCTTTCTGGATGAAAAGTCGAGATATAAGTTGGGAATTTTTCGTAAAACATTGAATTTGCGCTTTCTCTCTTTCATGTTTTACGAATGATCTCGACCAATCCCACCCAAAAAAAGAACTCCAACTGTATATTTCTGTTTGCTTCCCTCTTTATCCAAATAATTTCACTGCTGCTCCTCGATCCCTTCATCTGTAATGCTTTTTGGCAGATGTCCTGATGATAAGTCTTGGTTGGCACCTTCCTAGGTTCCCGCTTTCCTTGTACTGGAAGTTACAACATTATGCATTGTTTGTATTGTTGGTTCCCTTATAATCGTTGGATACCATTTTTCCACAGTTTATGGCCTTGTCAATCTTCAGTATTAATAGTTCACAAAAAAAGTTGAGAAACACCACGTAGTTGGCATCACTTAACCAGTATAACACTTCAAAAAAGTACAGGTATTTGCTTTTCTTGATAATCAAAATATTAAAGTGGTAAAGTGGTTTGTTCACACGCATCACTCATAACTGACATGGGATAGCTGTATCAGGTCGAAGTAGTTTCCAGAAAATTCGAAAACAGCAAGTTCATTGTTTCACATTCAAAACCAGCTTAGCCATACTCACAAATGAAAAGCGATGGAAAACACTAAGGCTTCCAAAACTTTCTGTTGGCCACTGAGTCAAGCTGCCATATTCAAATATCAAATTTGTTTTGCTTACCAATGTTACTAAAAAACAATCTGAATCTGTGTACAGCAGACATAAGCGATGTGATGGAAATCAGCAATAACAGTACTAATTCTATTTTACGGCTTGTTTGATGAAGTGTACGGGGAAACACTTTCAAAACCTAGTTGGGCTAAACTGCATTTACCACTGAAATCAGAATAACTTCTAATTTGTAAGGGATGAATTCGAATAAAAATTTGTCAATGGAAAACAAATACAAACAGCTATGCAGTAAACACCGAACAGCTTACTAAGAAAGACAACATAAACACGGCAACACAGATGAAAACAAAACTTTCTAAAATAGAAAAATAGCATGTTTTGGAAACTTTTGGAACTCATTAAAAAGCGTTTTGCAATAAAGTACCGTTTCGAAAACTGCTAGATCCACAGGTAGGATCGAAACATGTTGAACAAAACAACTAGACAATTGCTAGCTGGCGTACAAGTCTCATCAACCAGTTTTTCCTCAGCATTCACCTCACAGAGCACTAGTACTTGAGAAAGGCCATAAAATAAGCGGGCATAAATCGAAAACTGATACATCGTTGACACAACGTTAGGTTCCTGATAGGGAAAGAATATCAATGGAAATAACGGAATAATGGGAAAGATGCAAAGACCAACCATACTTTTTAGTTTACACTAACAGCAATTTGCTCTCTGAAAAGTTTTGCACTATTTCAGTATTATATTTTTGCTGCGAAACAATAAAAACGATTGCTATTTACCATATGCAAATATTACGGGACGTAATGGTTTAGCTTATAAAACCGGAAATAAAAAGCAGAAAGTCAAACAACTGTAAAAACAATAAACAGTAGGAAAGTGCTCTCATTTTAATTTATCCTAAAATCCATCAATTAACAAATTTCGTTTAGCTTTTTTTTTTGCGATAGCTTTATTTTAAGAAGGCTTGCATCAGCAGATGCATAACGGAGATAAACAATGTAAATCAGCTTATTGGTAATTATTACACACTTTCTATAATTGAGCACAACCACACAACATAAGTAAAATAATTCACATAGCACAATGATCCTACTAAATTGCTGCTAATTTCCTTCCTTACATAAAATCTCATAATTTCAAAATTCATAATTTCCAACTTCTACACCCTAAAAAGAACGAAATTTTCAAGAGCAATTTTACTAAGGAGAAACTCAAATCGGATTTTTCACAGAGTGAATATACTAATCAATTACTACTAGCATTATCAAGGATACTGCTTTTTCCTTGAAGTAATGTCCGTACTAAAATATTTAAATCATCTGTGCATTTGACTTCGAGATTAACACTCATTACTTGCCTCAAGAGGAAAAGATCATATCCTGAATTTCCAGCTTTCACGTTCAATTTTGGTGCTGGCATATTGAATGGCGTTTTCTGCTCCGATGCATCCAAAATTTTCTAAAAATATTAATCAGATCAGTGTTTCTTGCCTTTCATCCTTATCCGATTCAAACTTATATATATATATATGTATATATATATAAAACCACATCTGGAATCAAACGACAATATAGACTGAAAAAGAAGGTCGACACATCATACTGTTAGTTATATGACTTCTGAAAGATTATTGATTTTTCCAAAAACGGAAGCTAATTACACAAAATTATATGTCGAAGTATTAATTTTTTTTTTTTGTTTCCACTATGTTTTTCTTTTTTTTTTGTTTTTCCGGGAACTCAAATTATTCTGTAGTTTCTATTAAAATTCAACAGCAATCAAACAATTGTTAATTATTCTAATGCTATTCAAAAGAATTAGATACTTCATTATTTCAGCAACTACAAAAAACCATGAAATAAATGAAATAGGGCATATTTTCACTTTGGCTTTTCTCGAAGTAACAATAGTTATACTAATAGTTACTCATAACAAAAAAGATACCTGATAAACCCAAGGTACTCTCTGCAAACCGTTCGAGTTTGATAGCAACTGATTCCACATGGAAACGACATACTGGATAGTCTGCAAATTCAGTGGGGATTCGACTTGAAAATTTTCCTACTCATGATTATTTTTTATGAATATCTTAAAAAAGGAAAAAAGTATTCGATTTTTTCTAATGTCTTATTTCGCTTTCTTATTTAAACTATATCCTGTTTGTTGAAAATCAAAAAGTAAACTAGTCCAACAAGTTTCACTGACCCTTTCGGAAGCATCGTTACCCATCCTGTGCAGTCGAACAATCATTGCTTTGTATTCCTTATCCAAGAAATTTTCATTGTCTGCCAAAATACTATCATCCGATTCACAACCGATGTGGTCGGTGAGGCGCTGAGTTATCCTCTGCAGTATTTTTAGCTTATAATATACGGATTTACAATGAACATGGCCGACAAGTTAACGAAACTTAAACTTTCAAGATTTAGGTACTCCCTGCTGAAACATATAATTAGAAATGAAACTACGAGATAAAAGACTCAACTTACAATGACATAAATGATGAGAAGAGCGTTATGTATCAAACAGAAAAAGAGCTTTTGCTCTAAATCGGAAGACTTCACTGTTGCATACATATCAATTCTCTCCATCATTCGAATCGAAACACAGAGTAGACGCGATTGCTGTATGTCCGTTGAAAGCGTAGTTCTACTCTGCTTGCTAAAAACATATGTTTTACGCGCAGTGACATATGTAGCTATTTCTAAGCTTCGAAGTTCAAGAACTAAAAATGATTCGGAGCTTAAATGATTTTTTGAAAACAATCAAAGTGATTGCAACACTAGATAAAGCGAATGTGATCTCTGCTCCACTTTATGATTATCTTATTGCTTTGGCGAATGCTTGCTCACATTGAAGAAAGATCAACTTTCTTGACGATATCGGTCATCACAGCTATCATTTGGCAAAACAATTCATAAAGGATAAGCGTATTCTAAAATAGAAGCACAATTAGCAAGTCCCTCTAAAGTCTACGATGGAATTCAAAAGAAAAAATACATTCGCTTTGAATTTCAATTTTAGAAAGTATTCGGAAAATGACAAGTCTAATTCAAAAAATCCAAAAGGATTCAACGCATTAAATGTAATTACATGCAGGGTGATTTCTGACGATGGATCATCTCCAACAAACTTCTCAACAACTTTCTCGCAAGCTGATACCACGTTAGAATATTGACTAAATTTCGATCCATTAAACGCAATCGAGAGCATCAAAAAATTTAGGAAATGAAAAAATTGTGAAGCAATAACCAACGGAATGCAAAAAAAAATAGTATCCACACCTTCCACACAAGAAAAGTAAAAGCTGAACTGAAATCAATTCATTAGATCTAAAAAACATACTTCCATCGAAGCATGCATATACTTACGTTGCATCTATATTCATTAGCATTCGTAAAATGTAAATCGATCTTGCTGGGTTATTTAACGGTACGCCGAATATTGACGCCCAATCGATCAGGAACATTAATCTGTCGCTGTAGAGTACATTCGACATTTTCAGTGCTTTTTCATAATGACCCATATGGTTTGCAAGCAGCTAAAATGAAACAAATCAAATTTTTGTTTATTAAAACAGTATAGTATCGAATAACGAAACGACTTTTGGAACAAAGATTTCGAAAAGAAATATGAAACGAGAAGTCATCGTTGTAATGTTAAAAAAAAAAAAGTTCGCGATTGAAGTCTTGCCTCTTGTATCAGACTGAATGCACTTTCATCTCGCTCCAAAAACAGTTCATCCACTATATTCAGAGCACTCAAGGCACTGAAAATTAACTTTCCTGAAGGAATTTAACATACAGTCAACAAAGAGCGGCATAAAATCGAATCTGATACGTTTCTAGTAAATTATCAATAGCTATACGTCAAATAAAGGTCGACAATGATACATCACAAATAATACGTTGGGTAAAAAAGAAGTTGAATCATTCAGCTGAATTAAAAAGGTTAAGAAAGGAAAAAGGAATCATATGTAACGGAAAAAGCATATAAGAGAAGCAAAAACCTTAAACAATTCTACTGTATTTCAGACTCTAAATCAAACAAGGATCCATTACTTTACAAACAATCCATTCGCTCCAAATCTGATTTATCGAAACCAGTAGCAAAAACCTCTAACCTTTTCAACATAAACAATCCGAAAAATCGAGCTGCATGATCATAGTGTCGTTTGAATAGTGCATCGAAATCAACTGGACCCTTGTACGACACCATGTCCATCAAATCCTGAAACTGCAAACAACCTAACACAGATCTTACCACGCACTTTAAGCAAGGAAGATCTTTGTAAATGGAAAAACATACCACATCTTTGTAAGGAGTGATAAGGGTTCTATTTTCAGGTTCATATACAATGGCTGGATGGTCAGTATCCCATTTGATCATTTCTGCACCAAACAAAGCGTTATCTGCGGAAACTTCAAGTTTCAGATCACTCGGTAAGCTGTCAATCAACTCGACGATCGACTGAGCTGGCTGTTTTTGTTCTAAAAATACAGTAATGTGTAATAAACTATCTGCTTTAAGAAATAAAAAACCTGACAAAGAATATGGAGAAATGTGACCACATAATTAATACTAATTATATAGCAACGATCAACCATCTAACTAAATCATATACGGAACGTTTCGACGTAGCATGTCAGCTCCAGACTAAGTTCATCTATAGCCAATGATACTTCCATATAACGCCACCTGTGGTATCAAAACCTGTTGGATAAGAGCTTACTGAATTCACGGTCTTCCCCTAAATATTAGAATAACTTTCAAAGATTAATATGACTCGGAAAATGTATCTAATTTGACTATACTGCTAAAAATCAATAATTCCCAAACTGCTAAAAAAATCACAATCTTTGATTGTCGATTTCTACTGTGACCAACTGTTTTCATTCGTTGCCGCAATCCACAACCAAGTGCAAGTCTGATACAGACCAAACACTCTTTAGGTATGCTACTAGCACAGTCAATCATAGTACAGTCCTTTCTGTTTAATGTATGAAACAGTACTTATCAAACAACTACCGAATAAGCACAAGTAAAAGACAAATCATTAATTGGCAACGCAACAATTAACGCAGAAATCCTTACCTTGTCCATATAGCACGTTCTCACATTTCTTTCGCGTATAAACTAAGCAATATGCAGAGCAAGCCCTTCTCGAACCAAATGAATCTTCTTCAATTTGCTGCCAAGTTGCCGGCTCAACACTTTTATCATTAAATTTACGCCACGGTACTTCTTTATCGTGGACATTGCATAACGGGGAGCTAGCTATATAGGCCCAATAATGTCCAACATTTGCTTCTCCCTCATGGACAATAACGCTGTGCAAATGATACGGTTCCTGCAGCAGTATGAATATAAGTTACATTCTTTAATGTATATCAAAAATGAAAAAAGAACAAATTTTGTTTAAAGGTAATGAAGATATAAAAATAGAATTAACTTGAAATTTCTGAATGGAAAAGCTATACCTCTCTCATACCGTCGACATCAAAGATCGACTCAATATTTTCTTGCAATGTATTTGCCTCTTGTTGTAGTTCTAAAACACCTTTAAGTCTAAATACATAACTCTAGCAGAAAATTTCCAACAGATAACTTGATAAACTATCCCAATAACTCAGAAAGATAAACGAATAACACAATAACACTATCAAAATACTATTCAATTCTCCTCCTTCAGTACTTCGTTTTATCCCGATTTAATGAAGATCTCAAGGTTTCCGGAAAAAAAAACAGTATCTATTCGTACCGTTAATTCGCTTCTGTGCATTTGCTGAAAGCGTTTGCAGGAAACTTGTAACCGCATTGATGTCAACATCTGCTGGGATTATTGCTTTATCAAGGCAAGGACATGCTAACATTGCATTGCCTTTTTCTAAATCGCACGGTCCTGATGAAAAAAAAAAAACAAAAAATCGTAATTTCTACAGGAAATAATATTTTTAAAATACATTCTTTGGTTATTTTGGAAAGAGAAACTACATTCCAGGATATCCGAAATATAGCGAAAAACAGGAATATATATTGGGTTTTATCTTATGCCCAAATAAGTGAAATCCGTTATTCTAAATTAAAATAATCAGAAAAGGAGACCATACCTACATGAAGATTTGAAGAACCAGATACAACTGTCGAAAGTGACGAAGTTTCATCACAAACTTCCATTGGTTGCTGTTTGCACGTATCGCAGTTGATGGGGATGTTTCTAAAATCATCATTTAGATAAAGCACCGTTACAGCTATGATGAATATTGACAGTGGATCCAATTTCAAAATGTAACAGTGCATTTCAGCTCATCAGTCTTAAGGTCAATGCTTGACGAGGAGGCCATTCACGCTATCATCATGGCAAATTTAAGCGGGAGATATATAATCAATTGTCCAAAAAAGAGAAAAAAAAACTCTAAGACCAATAATATTTCAATAAAGAACTAAATCTAACAAAATTTTCACACAAACTATCAACTTGATCTCCATATACAACGTCATATACAAACATATACAACGTCTGCCGAAAGCCGACAGACATGAAATTAGCAATGGATATGTTCTTATCAGAAGAAATTCAAACACAAAATTTTTAGTGAATCCATTTAAAAATAAAACTGATCAAATTTCAACGTGGACATAGTTCAACACTAGACGAAAAAATCCAACCCATTTGTCGCCGACGATGCATATTTGACAACAGCATCTATCAGAGATGGGAGCGGTACTTTTGTGTCACCAGCTGGAAATTTCTCCCATCTGCAAATTTTCGTACTTGAAACCTTACAGATTATAGAAAAACAGATTGTAAAATCAATTAAAAGTCGAAAGATCAACAGAAACAGGAATGAAAAAGCTATGATCGGCGTAAAATACCATTTAAGCAATTTCGGCAGCCAGCAATAATAATCTAAAACAACTGACTGGCAGTGCTGAAAAACAGTGAACAAACACGATAGTTTGCTGATAAGCTAACAAACCCTTCTAATTCACACTTGACATTTGCAAGCCGTTTCTTTAAAGATTTACGTTCAATCCGTTTCTCACTCACAAATGTACGATTTCGATACAAAAAACGATCCATGTATATAACACGAGGAAATTGAAATTGGCTGTGTACTTTTTCCGTCTGACCATTTTTATAACTGAACCGAACCAGCGAAAAAATGACAACAGGCGGCAACGACTCAAACCATAACTGGAATAGAAACGATTATAGCTCCTACTTTTTTGATATCACCAAAATAATGAAAAATATCAAAACCTAAGAAAAAATCACGAAACCTCTTTCGCTGGTGCGTCAGACAGGTGATAAGCTTCCAATGAGTCGTATAAGTTGTCATAAGTGACATCCAAATTGATCATCTGTAGTGAATTTGCCAGCTTCAGAGGTGGTGAAACTCCGACTGTGATTTCTTAAATATACCGCATGACCAAGTAAAACAGGTATTTTTAAAAAACATGTGAAATGAACATAATTTGATGGGGAGAAGCTAGTAAGTAGCTGAACAGCCTTATAATTTCAGTAATAGACGGCAGTTTCTATCCAGCTGCTCTATATATGCTTTCACAAACATTATCAAAAGATACCAGCACTAGGTCGAATTTCTACATGTGAACCGTGAAAAAGTGCATTAAACGGATGTTCTGGAGCAGGATTCGAATTGAGATCATCACTGGATAAATTATCAAAAGACGCCTCACCACCTGGCGTTAATGTATGCTCCGAGTTAGAACCACTCGGCATCATATTTTCATCCTGCATCAGTAAAAATGATGAGTAAAAATATCTAATTCAAGTTAATTCTAATACTTTGGCTGTGACTCAACTACAAAAGACGACAGCACTGCTAAGCTTACATTAGTATCCATGATTTCTCCATACGGAATGCTAGAAGCCGATGGGTAAAGTGACTGCATTTCTGGTACTGATTCAACTCTGAAGGCTACCTCAAGCCACTCAATTAGCCGCAAAAGCATTTCGGTAGCATCCTGAAGTTTTTCTTTATCATTAACTGTGAAGAGAAAATTTATGGTTTCAACGCTGTTCACAATGACAATTAAAGTATACTTCGAATCAAATATCCTTTGGAAAAATCAAGAAAAAAAAACCTGTTGAATGCCTATACAAGGAGCAGCTTTATTCAAGCTCGTATTCAATTCGCTGATTATCTTTAATACATTTGTTGGATCAACATATGCGCGCGATGACGCTTTAAGACAGGCAGCAAGTTGACGGAGAGATATTAAAAGTGAGGTTGTTAACGTATCCATATTAGTCTAAAACAACGGTGAGAAGTTTTCATACAAAATAATAACTTACTAACAATCTAACATTCGCATGCTACTATGTCATATATACCTTTTAATCAAGCTTCTTTTTTTTCGTCCTGCAAGTTAGCTAAGGTAACAAAAGAACCAATTTGTAAGAAATATCGTGGCGAATTGGGGATAGATGATTCGAAAATTAAGGAAGGATAGCTGCACAGCCCAACTAATGTCTATGGCTAGGGAACAAAAGAAATAATAGACCACAGAATTTTATATACAACGGAAAATAGCGATGAAGAATTTAGCTGGAAAACTTTCAAAACATTTTGTCAAACTAATGTGAGGGAAAAAAACACTTCATTAAGTTGGCTTGATTCATTTTCCCAAGAATTTGATTTGGTAATGATATATCTCGTCCTATTTTTGGTTGGTATATCGAACAACATTTGACGAAAACGTGGTATATGGAACAGCGTCTGAAGAAATCATTACGGAATGAATGAGCAAACAAAGCTGGAAATATCCATAAATCACTTGCCATTACCACAGCTTTTGAATATTTTAATCTTGGTGTAATGCATCTTAATGAGACACACAGAAGAAGTCTAAAAACGTTAATGAGAGAGGTTCCCCTGTTTCACTTTGGATCTACTTGGATAAAGAGATCCTGAAGACACAAACTTTACATATCATTATGGTTGCGAACATACTTGCACGATAACGTTGAACCAGCAACTATTGCCTATATTTTTCAACCCCACAGGTGATAAACCGCATCGTCGCCTTTCATATGGATTTTCCGGATCCCTTTGAGCAAAAGGAGAGAAACCAGGAATATTCTGATTGTCTTTCAAGGACTCTTCAATAGCTCTGAAAATATGAAATCGGTATAAGAATAGTGAAATTTCCATCTTCTTTACTAAATTTTTCCAATTGTTATGAACAGAATTGCCATTGGAGCGATGACATTATCTCTTATGTCGAAGCGTTATAATAATCGATATAAGTAACATAAGTTGCTCATCGGGATGACGTAGGTCAGGGACATACTAGTTATAAAATAGAAAATGTGTTTTTTTTCTTTTTCTGAACGATATACGGTTGGAAAATTAAAGCACTATACAAATGTTTATGAACATGAAGAAATATAAATTAAGGGTAGTCCATAAAAATATAACAAAACATACTTAATAACATCCTGTTCTTCCCGATTCCCCAGAACATTTCGTGGTATATTTCCCCATTTCTGAACACCTTTATCCTCGTCTGACGCTAGATCGATTACTTTCGGCTCTTCCATTGTTGTACCACGTGTATTAAAAGAATATGGACGGCTAACTGACGGAGCTGGAGAAGGAACATCCAGATGCTAAAAAATTGCAAAGTGAAATATCCTTCAGAAAAAATCAAAGATTACAATAGGCAGGATGTAATTTTCCATTAAACGAATATATTAAGTTATAGAAGCATTCTGACTTCTCTAGCTTTCAACAAGCAATATGAAATATAGTTCAGATGTACAGAGAAAGCAAAATAAAAGCAAAGCTAGACTTATAAAGGGAAAGCAAAACTTGTTAAACAATGGTATGACCTCATCAAATCGAACTTGCTTATTTGGTTTCTCGACCGATTCCATTCGGTCGAAATAAAGGCTAATGACATCGTTCAAAACGTTATTACCGCTTAAATGAGACTGCGTATGAGATCCATGACTCTGAAGCACGTATACTGAACTGTCAAAGATTCTTATTGGAATGGAAAACTGCGGATACAAGGAATTACAGCTATTTAGATAAAAATATCTTATTATATCTCATTCATCAGGACAGCCTAGCCAGTAATTGCAGTCTGATAGCTTAGAAAAGAAGGCGTTATGGCTTACGCTGTACATTCACTATATAAATTCACTGACTGGAAGAGCAAAAGAACGACTGCCTGTCATAGTTACAGTTCAATAATTTCAATCCGAAACTAACCTTGATCGCTTGCACAAGCATTTGTTCATTTACGCTGCTCCCTAGGAAATTTTTTACTTCATTGAAGAAACCCAATTCTTCCGCTGTTAACGCACTCTGCTAAAAGTGTTTTTATCAAAATATAACAATGAAAATCGTTCTAAGTGACATTAGTTATCTCTCCGTATTGGATAAGTCACAATTATTTCATCCTTCCTATTTCATTACTGCTATTTTGAACGAAGCAATCAATAATGGGATATCGTCGTTTATATAACAGTAAACTAACGTGAAGGGATCTCGACACTCGTTCGGGTTCTTCACCCTCGATTGGCCCAGGGCCCTTGCCTCCCACTACCGAGAGTATTGTCATAAGTTATCAAGATCTGCAAAAACATTCATTAGAAACACCTCCACCATCCTCGTATTGTGTGACGTCACTGAGCATCGACCTCCAGCTCACCTCCCGCCTTCATCCACATCCATTTTCTTCAAACGAACTCTTTATTACCATATTTCTAACAAATAACCATAAATTCCATAGAATGAGAAACATTTTGGAAGTGTGCCAAAAACGTTTGTCATTATGCCACAAGTTAAAGAATCTGTAAAACTGCAAGAAACCCATAAATACCAAAACGACTTCATGAGAATAATCTTAGATAACACTGGCCGCAATAAAATGATTTACTGTGGATTCTAAGTGAGTGTATTTAGATCCGAATTATGATCAAATGAAGAACCATGTCCAGGAAGAGAGAGATGTCCTGAATATGTCCTTAGATCAAATACACCACCATGCGGGAAAATTCCAACCTACCGTGCACAAGCACACACACACACACACACACACAGACATACACAAACAAAACCAGTTTACCTGACCTGAATAACGCAAGTTCATTCCCTTATCTCTCTTCTTTCTACCAACGGAAAAATTTACAGCATGAAAATTTTCGTTGTAACACTGCGGATAAACGATATATTCGATTTCAGTAGTAATAAGAGACGAGATAATAAAGCGCAGTGAACCAATACTTGAAAGTACGATGGCAACTTCAACACGTTTTAACCAATGCTTAAAATACTTGACCTTATCCCTGATGTAGTTTATCCTAGTCGTTATTTGAAATCCAACGACTCCAAGTTGAAGTCATCTTTGCCCGACAAAAGCGCTCGCTGCTTATTGGAAGACTCCATTAAGGCCAGATCAGTTGTTTGTCCACCACAACTACTATTAAACGACTCACTCATGACCTTTTTACTTCACCCATCCATCTAACAGTTCCGATGACTTCTATATTACATACCTATTGCAATGTTAGTTTCCATTGGTGCTCATCAAACATTTACATGAAAGTAGGCCTAAGTAATCTAAATCGAAACAATAATTAAGTTTGTCTTTTAGTGCTCTCACTCATATGTTAGTTACTCATATTCTGCCTCATTCCAGAAATAATAAGTACAGCAGGATGGTGCCTCTATAGGACCATCTAAAACAAGCTGGAAAAGTTATTCATTTATGGCTCCGTCTAACAGCCTAAAAAAACAACAAACCAGTGCTGTACCTCGCCAGGATCTCCGGGAATTCTGCACCCGACCCTACCCCCTCCCTGACGTATCACCTCGTTCCAAAACCTCCACATCAAAGTGAATCAGATTGTTTATACTTACCGCATATAGCGTACCGTCCGAAGTTTATGTGGGAGCCGCAACATAAATCATTAACTGAGTGAGGTGCTTATTTGGGGGTGGGGTCGTATTGATGTGGGCTAAGGTCATGTCCTCTGGATAAGTTAGGTACGGGATGTAAAGGAGTAGAAGGGTCCGAGATTTCTTGCTGTTCGCTGGCCTCTTCATCCTGGTTTTCTATGTGAGTGCACTTTCCAAAATGCTTTTTCTCTGCCCGCGGCTTCGCGATACTATGCATTGCGTCCACTCTCCCTTCACTGCATAAACTCCACTTCACATATGGGAGTTCAAAAATACCTGCAATACAGAAATGAGTATAGTTCGCACAACTGATGAAGCTGCACGCGCGTAATTTAAACATAGTCAATTTTTATCCTCCAAACATCGTTCATCTTACAGTATGCCGTAAGCGTTATGAAATATTGACAGTAATAACATTGTATGTTAGCTGTCCTTCCCGATGTAATTGTCACCTGTAATTGTCGCCTATGCTTTTTTTGCTTTTCTGATTGTTATTATGACTTTGTTTCTTTTTCTATCCATTTTTTGCTAAAAGTATTTCAGTCCTTTGCAAAATTTTTTCGCTTCCTTGTTTTCATCTCTAATGAGTTTTGTAATTGAGCACTGAGAACCGTTTGAATCATGACACAGCAATTCATAGGGATTAATATACAAGGATTAACCACAAGGTGAACATTTCCAGAAACCACATTTAGTATTACATGGTTAACTACATGAAATATGCCTTCAAATTTTTTAAATTCTATCAACTTTATAATCAAACGGAAGAAGCAGTTTACTCATGAGACTTACTGCTTGGATAATTTAAACAACAGTTTAAGAGTTTTCTTTGTAATTTGTCTATTCTATGGTCCCTATTTTAAACCAAAAAGTCACTGTTGCTGGGCCTTTAAATTTGTTGCGGGACCTGGGACCCCTAAAGAATAGAGTGAATATTTTTCTGTGTTTGTGTCAGTTCTGTCCTTTCTATTCATAATTAACAGTTTTCATTAGTTAATCCAGAAAAATAAGCTGCTTTCGATTATTTTTCTAAAGAAGTCAAACACTTTTTAGTTAGAGATACAGTTTCTCTGTTCTGATTTGTAGTTCTTGTCATCGTTTGCTTTTGCTGTCAGTCAGAGTAGTTTTCTCCCTTTTTAAATTCAAGGATAAAAATAAAGCTCCATTCAGTATTATTGCAGTGATTAGCGAATAGGAGGTACTTCTCTTTTCAATCTATGATTGAAATATGCACTTTCATTGGGACATTTTTATATTTTTAAAAGATTTATTTGGAAGTTGTATGACTTATACAGTTCTTATGCTTTGCTCGTTAACATTTCGTTCTCTCAGTTTCGATCTTTATACTTTTATGTTTTTTTGAGATTTCTTCAAACTAACAAATTGCTGTAGCATTGCCAGCAATTCATCCGTATTTATCGTAGTGCTGATATTGCTCAGACGTATTATGCAATACTGTGCAGTTCTTACCACATTTTTTAAAGATTTTACTTGTGCTGTTAAGCTTAAGTGTATTAGAAATTTTTTGATGCGTTTTTTAAGAACAATTTTAAACACGTTATTGGAATAGATAATGTTTTGTTCTAAAAAAATGACAAAGTCTAACACTTTCGAAGGAGTAAATACAAAAGTCGTCTATGCGTTAGACTTCATTGCTACATTCCGTAAACGTAATTACAAAATATTTTGAAAGAATTAAAGGAAAAAAACTTGGATGCCAAACAGTGCTTATTTTAATGCTAAAAACACTGGCACATAGTGGTTGTTTCACTGCACTTCTTGTTTTAGATTTTGATTGGAGGTAAAGTTAACGGAAGCATGATGGTTGATCAGAATTTGTATTGCTTTTTTCGCGCAAATTATCTTCCAGTTTTATTTTTCTCACTGATGCTTTTCACATTCACTTCATATTCATAATTTTGCTTATTGATTGCATCATCCATTTCGCTGAAAATCGCAGATGGCTGTTTTTCAGGAAATACTTGTGATCCATGGAAGAGTCTTATCGTGAGTCGAAACCGGATACACTGAAACCGAATCAGCCAGTAAGCATAGACGTTGAGGTGCAAACCGAGGATGGAATACATCGTGAAGGAAAATCTTATCGTGGACGTGGACGAGGACATTGGAGAGGTGGCGGCCGCGGCGGCCGAGGATTCAAACGGCGAACACGTGGAGGTTTTTTTTTAAGATATGCAGATAAAGCTATGAAGAAATTTGGATTTTTAACATGCTGCAGATGATCTAAGAGTTTGAGAAATCATTTCATTTATGACATTATTTAACTCTCACCTATATGTTTACCGATGTTCCAATTACTTTAACTTGCTTTACTTGCCTAACAAGCATCTCTGATTTAACATAATATCTGAAAACCGCTTCTGAAAAATTCAACGTTGCCAAGTAGTCTATCTCTTTATCATAACTGGGTTCGGTCATCGTCACTGTTTTTGTTGGAATTAATTTGATGGGGGTAATTTAAACGAGCTTTTTTCGAAGATGGTGGACCGTGGAACAAGCGACGGCGGTTTACATATACGGGTACCGTTGATGATTTTCCGTTTCTTCATGGTGGCAACAGCAAGGATCCGTTAAATTTAAAATCCGTAAAGCCAGTCGATGAAGCAGAAAATATGAAACCAGTCGACATCATTATACCGAAGAACATTCATGATCCTCTAAATTTGCGAAATGTCAACAAAAATCGTGCTAGGAGGTTTTTTTTCGTGGTCTTCTAAATCAGAATCTTAGCGTTTTTTAAAATATTTATATGAATTCTGATGTCAATATGGATCCAAACACAACTCATTTGGAGCATAAAGTGAGAATCGATTATATAGTATCACAGTCTTAGCAAAGTGTAAATGTCACCAGCCGAAATACTATAACCTTTAAGAGATATTTGATATTGAAATATTTCTAAAATATGCCAAATGTTATCGTTGTCATTTGAATATTTCTGGGAATAATTCTTAAATTCCAAATCAAAAAATATTTCTTTATGAATTCAGTCCTCGGTAAGATTTTATTTCAGAAAGAGGCGCTACAGCAAACTGACAGAGAAAGAAGAAGTTGAGGGCAGTAGCGAAAGTTCATCCAAAAGACGCGGAAGCATTGCTAGTGGCATAAACGAAAAAAGACAGGAAGATCCTATTGTGTCACCTGTACCTCTTTCAGTTGTGGTACTGTTTTGTTCTTGCCAGTAAGCTATAATGTTTAGGAAATTTTCGTTTAGGATAATGAAAAAAATGTCCGATTGCTTCAATTTATGTTTCAAAACAAAATTATGATTTTCGTCCTAGTTCTCTACTCTAATTTTCCTCACACAACTTTATTATTCAGATTTTCAATTGTTTACAAATGCTTTTTAAAGAGAAAATTTTGCGGAAATTTGTCCAGAAGACTACCGCATCAAAAAATTGAAAAAGAGGGCGAAAAGTGCAAGATATTGAAAAACTGCAGCCATCATCTGGAGCGGTAGCAGGAGCGAGTAACTCACAGGCAGTTGAAATATTCAAAATAGAAGATGAGAAATCTGCAGATGAGAAAAAGAAAAAGAGAAAGATAATCAAAGGTTCGCTCTATGTATTAATGTCCAGATATCATGATACTGAAGAAAAAAATATGCTTGACAATTTTTCTAAGAGTAGCTCTTGCAAAGTTGCTGATTAACAGCTTTTTATTTTGCAGTAGGAATGCTTATCGGTGGTGGAACTCTCTTAGTTTTTTCTTTCTTTATGGTAGGAACAAGTGTGATTTCAATTTCCAAAATTTTTTTCTGGAAAATAGTTTCAGTGGCATGAAAAAGTTTATACAACAATTTAAATATATGTCACACATTTCGTCAACTAAAAGTTTTAATTGACATGCGAATATTCCATGGACGTAGCGGCGGAAATGCAAGTTTATGAGAAAAAAGAATTTATAAGATTCAATGGTTCTCAAACTAAGCAGAATTATTTCCTTTTTTTTTCCTACACTTTTTGATATATAAATAAGTAAGGATTCCCTTTGCAGATTTCGGTATGGTAATTATACTCGATATTACGGAAATCGTCTTGAAAAAGGTAGTGGCCACGATCCGCGGATGAAAGTGCTGAAGAAAGAATGGTTTGAAAAGAAATCAGTTTTAGATATTGGTTGCAATGTTGGCTATTTGACCCTTTCAATTGCCAAGGAGTATCAACCAGGGAACATCGTTGGTATTGATATTGACGCTCACTTAGTTGGTGTGGCCCGAAAGAATATACGTCACTATTGTGACAACGATGTACCTGTATGCTTTTAAATTTTCGAGTTTTTCTGATTGTTTGCAGCAAAAATACCTGGTCTAATTTGAAGGACAGGCATGTACATTCATAACACTTCGTTTTTCAAGTTATATTGTTTCGAATCGCTACGAAATAGGCGATTTAAAAATTGGAATACATCTAATCGGTTTTTAAAGACTACTTCATTTCATAAAGTGGTCCACGAGCCTTACCTTTTCGTTCGAACAAAAATCGAACCTAATTTCTGGCTATGTTGGGTAATATTTTAGCGCTTTTTTTGAATATTCGAAAAATTTGGAAAGATATGGGAATTTTTTTTTGATTCATGTCACTTCATTTGGAATTAATGGTTACGAAATTTTACATCTAGATTGTTGGTGGTTTCCCTGCATCATTTGCCCAACGCTATGGGCCAGTTTCTGCACCGCTCACAACGTTTTCAACCAAATTTCCTGATAATATATGGTTTCGGTGCGAAAATTATGTGTTAGAAAAGGATGAACTTCTTGATGCAGTATGTGATTTTGTTTTGTCAATTGATCGTTCTGAACAAAATCTGACTAGAATAGCAACATGCAAAAGTGGCAACTCAGCACTTAGTTTCGCTGCTTCAAAAATTGAAAACCCAAGTCGATAAAAAACTTTGTTACTTACTACTGACACCTCGAGTGTGATATATTATCAAGTGTCATTATTAGATGCACTTTAAAGTGAAGTTATTGTTTTTCTTCCGTGCCATCATTCGACTAATTAAGTAGTTCTTAAATTATAAATGTTTCGAGGTGAAAGAAGAATATGATGTTATCATGGCGTTAAGCATCACTAAGTGGATCCATTTAAATTGGGGAGATGCTGGAATCAAACGTTTCTTCAAACGTGTCTATCGACATCTTCGCCCTGGTGGTCTATTTATCTTAGAACCACAGAGTTTTGAAACTTATAAGAAACGAGCAAAACTGACGGCAAGTTATAAGTTTACATGGTGTATTTCTTTCATTGCACATATTGAAAACATTCATATTTCATATACTGATGGACATATTTCAAATAGTTAAGGCATATTTTTTTAAGGAAATCTTTAAAAGGTATTGCTATATATATATATATATATATATATATATATATATATATATATATATATATATATATATATATATAATATATA